TTACGAATTTTTTTTAGAATTTTTTTTGGTAATTGTTGGGTTTATATACAATAAAAAAACAACATACTTAATGTTTAATTTAAGAATAAATTACACTCCAATAGACATTTTAATTTTAATTTTTAATTACAGTTTTAATTTTCGATTACATTTGAAATAGTGAATTCATATTTCACATATCCGTCACTTTTTAGTGATGTCTGCCTTTTATATGCAAAATGACTATATTATTCTCTTGTTGACTAAAACAAGCTTGATTTAAAAAAAAGATCGTGACAAAAATACCACTAGGGATTCTCAACGAACCACTAGAACCCATTGCCACAGCCACCACCCAACACCTTCATCACTACTGCCCCCACTCAAAACCAAACCAAAACCTCCATCACCATTGCCCCATCGAAAACCAAACCCAAAAACCTATCCCCATGCTTATTTAAATTTGATTGAAATAACGACTTTATAAAAGTTAGTCACAAGAAATTAAAATATCGTTTAATACGCGATCTTTTATTAAGTTCGATACGTGATTCGTATCGGTCAGTTTATATTAACTTTGTTCGAATCCGTTATATCACGACCGCGACCGACACTGCAAACCACGACTCCAAGCCCATTCAGCTTAAAAATACAAAATATTTAGAGATAGAGAGAGAGTGAGTGATTTGGCACAATTGGTGTATCAAATTAATAAATTAGGATATTTTTGTTATTTAATATTACAAATATTTTGTATTTAATTGTATTAAAAAAAATTAAAGAAAAATGAGTCAATTTGCATGTGTAAGTGTTCAAAAAGTAATTTGGAGTGTAATTGAAAGTTAAAATCAAAATATTCATCTATGTGAAATTTGACCAAAGTTTAAAAGGTGTCAATGTAATTTATCCTTAATTTAATAAGAGTTGTTATGTATAATAGATTTTTTTTGTTAACCCGTGATATTCAGGAAGGCATGAACTCGATGGCTCCTCAATAACTTGATTAATTTTTGAAGATTGGGAAGACACCTCCTCACTCGGATCAAATAAGTAATTGTTCGCAAAGAACATTTAACGGGACTCAAAATCGATATGCAAAGTACCAAATTTTGACACGCAAACCGATAGGTCATATCGGATCAACAAATCAATCTTTTTTTTGGGTAAATATCAACGAATCAATCTTGCCATCACCTAATTATCTCAAGAGTCTCCGTAACTTTAGCCTTTGATTACGAAATGGGCATTTCTAACCTTACCTTTGTGTGATGTTTTCTTTCATGACAGAACCATCAATGGCGACATGCCTACGCATAGGCAAACATAATGAATGAGGTCATACATCCTGTTAACCTAGCTTTTCCAAGTCCACTATCACATGAATATACAGTGTATTATATATATATATATATATGCAAATAATTGTAATAATTTATTTTTGAAGTGACTTAAACTAATATATTAAGGTTCCTTTTTTAAGCACTTTTATTAAGGTTAATTCTCAGTTGATCAATCATCTTATTAGTGTCCAAATTAGATTATGATAATCAGATGGCTAATTTTGATCTAATTTTCTATGATAGATGGGATTGTTTGTGTGAATAGAGTAATCAACGGATGTCACTGAATATGAGACATGGACCCATTTTTTGATTTATGAAGTTTTATTGAAGGAAAGAGGAACTAGGACTTGTCACAGTCCATTAGTCAACATTATTAAAATATGTAATATTAATTAATTTTCATAGCGGTCGGTCTATTTTGAATTTGGTAGGTTTGTTGGGTCATGGGTGGCAAATTTGGGTCCCACTCTTAAGCCTTTGGAATGGGACTCACACGTGTGTGAACTTTGTGCCGCCTTATCTTTTAAGCAACTTACTAGTGAAGCATTGTAGTCCAAAAGAATTTTCTTTTTCTTTTTCTTTTTTGTTGCCGGTCCGTCGCTTTTACTATTTTATATTATATATTATATATTAATTAGTCGTACACTTATGTAAATAAATAAAATTGATTAAGTTGACTTATTATAACATCAGAAAAAGTTTGCACATTTGTACTGCTAATATATTCGAAAATTGTTGTCCAAGCCATAAAAAGTTTGCAAGTTGCAAGTCTTGTGTTACTAGCAAATGTCGGCCGGGTTGGGGTTGAACCCGACTTTGAGTTAGGCAGAGTTAATTCAAGTCTTATTATAGTTGGGTTAGCCCGTTGATTTCCAATCCAATCAAATTGGCCCGCCCTTGGCCCATTTTATAGGTGGGTTATTTTATTATAGTACACGGTTTTTTGGGATTTGTGCTTGTCGCAGGTTAAGATGTTGCAATTTTGGGTTTGGCACGGGCTAACTCCTAAGGTCTGCCCAAATTCCACCCTAGATGTGGTATGGTAACGTTAAAATCATTTTACATCGCCCACTTTGGAATATGATGAAGGAGAATTTTTTTTTTTTTTTAATTATGAGAGTGATATCAAACCTCTTAAAACACTCTATGATTCACTTCTAGTCACTTACTGTTGTCCCTTCTCTTATAACCCAAAAATATTCTAAGAATAACTCTAAAGAAGTTCATAATGCAAATGTCCTAATATGACACGGACGCCCATTCCAATAAGTAGTGATGCATACATTCAATATGTAGTGATGCATACATTCAAAATAAAAAATTCTCTATATAATATTCAAAATTAGAGACTTCTTGCACAAAAATCAATCCCATGAAAACCCATATAATCCCTATAACATATATTTTTTTTTTTGGAATTTATAATCCATATAACATTAAAACTTATTTGGACCACCAAATTTAATGTTCAATATTCTGTATAGAGATGGACCACCAAATTTCAATTGTGACCACCTAATAATTTGTCCTAAAAATAACCTATTGATTAAACAACAAATAATGTTCACACTTTCAATATTTTTGGACATATATTATATAAGGAAAAATCTCTAAGTACTCATGATTTTTTCATTACTAAAGTTGTATTTAGTTAGATGAAAATTAAAGATGACAATTTGTGTTCACATGTCATATTGTGTAATGTTGATTTACAAATATTATGTTAAATCGGTCAATCTGAATACGATCTATTTAATAATCATGTCAGGGACTCTCAATAATAATACGACATATTTATTAAACGAGTTATACATGTTAAATGACCTATTTATCAAAATCAAAATTATTTATAATCCTCAATCCAACAATAAATACTAAATATATACATATATATATATATATATATATATATATAAGTCTCAATCCAACCAAATTACTAAATAATTTTTAATCCACGAGATAGTATATTAAATGACACAAGTTTAGATAGTTGTTATATATCTCAAATATTCAAGGTAAAAAGAAAAACATCAAACACCCAATAGCTAAGTAGACTATAATCACTTGAAAATCATAAGGCTGAAAAGAATTGAGAGCTCAGGAGTAAATATTTTTTGTTAAGGGTCATGTTGAAATGATTTAATTGTCCATAGTTAAATGAGCATAAACGAGTTGAACCCCTCAACCCTAACACGATACGATTAATTAATTGAGTTAATCCTTTCTACCCGAATCTGATTAAACCCAAATTCACTTATCATGTATCGTATTACAGTCGTGTTGGCAGGTGGTGTGCCACCTTTAATAGAAATAGCTAACACTTTATGCGTCCGTTTGGTTAGATGGAAATCAATGTTGGAAAGTAAAAAAAAGTGAAGTAACAGAAAAATAAAATAAATTTTCTAGGAGAAAATTTAATTTCATAATTTGGATAGCATGAAAAGTACTAATAGAAAATATTGTGATTTACCTAAATTGTCTATTTTTTTAATTAAATATGACAACAGGTCTTATGTCTAAATATATTTATGTTTAATTAATATTTATACTTTTTTAATAAAAGTAATATAAGATTCTAAATAATAAATTTTTGTAAGATACATAAAGAGTAACTATTATAATATTATTACAAAGAATCATACATAAACACAATTTATTTTAGAAAGTGAAAATGGGGTATAATTGAAATTTCATATAGCTTTCTCAAGAAAGTAAAATTTCCTTTTTTTGTAGAAAAAATTTGTGAGAATGTTAGGTGGTTATGAATTTTTTTTTTCTTTTCTTGCTATCCAAAAACTCATAAAAAGTTTGAAAATTTTCTATCTTTTTTTTTTTTTTATTTTTTTTTTTATTTTTTAACCTCCTTTCTTGTTATTTCAATCTAACCAAACCAAGCCTATAAGTCTAGTTGCTCGAAAAGAAAAATTTTGAGAGAGAATTATTTTACAGAACCTCAACTAACTTTTCCACAAGATTTTCCTAAAAAAGCATTTCTTTATTTTTTGAAAGTTCTATGAATAATCGCCTTTTCGGATCAATTTCATAACACTTCTAACTATTACACACAAAGTTTAATAAAAATAAAAATTGAAAAATAATTTTTACCACGGTTAAAGTGGATGTTTACTTTTTTTTTTTTTTTCTTTTCTTTTTCTTTCTTGAGAAAAACTTCCCTACACTTTTAAGACTTTACTATTTTGTCATCAATCAATTGTATCGTGTCAGATAAATAAAAGAACTTTATTTTCATGAGTACTATGACTTCAGATCAATATCTAATAGCTGATAATTCCGCGTCACTAATATAATGGAATTAAGTTTTTCTCCATTTTATTCCTTAAAAAAGGGCCAATAAAAAGTTGGAATCCAAATTGACATTTTTATCTAGGTATCACTGGTAGATGTCTTGATAATCCAGTACGTACTAGGTATCACTACAAATAAAATTTATAAAAAAAATAAAATAAAAATGACCAACATGCCCCTTAAGTTTACGGGTTGATGGAGGGCATGCTAGTCGTTACACGTTACATCAAAGATTCAAAAGAAAACCCATCTTATCCAATACATCCACTCAAAGCAGTACCCCATCCACGTCGTCTAGAGAGAGAGAGAGAGGGCTTTTTAGAGAGAGAATCAGGAAACTGGATAAAAGGAAAGCAGGACGCCGAAAAAACCAGGAAATAAACAAGGAAAGTGACATTCTAATTCTGTGTGCATGCACCCAAAGAAATTCTAAAATGAAACAAATAATATATATACAACCTTTCACCCTCTTTTTCTCTTTTTCGATCGCATCATATTCCTGGAAAAACCTCAACGAGGTATGCCCCTAACCCCTCCTCTCTCTCTCTCTCTCTCTCTCTCTAGATTTTCTCTCTATTGTCTTTCTTGAGTCTTGTGAAACTTAAGTAAAGCCAATTAATTGCTAATTATGGAAAAAGAGTAATGGGTTTTGTCTATGATTCGCAGTTTTTGGGGTTTCCTAACAAAATTTGAGTTGTCGTCGCTAATCTATGCGAGATAGTGTTTTCTTTCTATTCGAATGTTATTGTAGGACATGTGTTAGTTTAGTTGATTTCTTCTTGAAATAATAGTAATTAAGTCAAGTGTTTAAGTGGGTATTACCGTATTAGGATGTAATGTTTAGAATTGTTGAACTTGATGAGCAATTAAAGAATATTGTTATAAGTTATAGTTCATAAAAGTGGAAAAGATGGGTTTTTATGACCTTGAATGAGAAATTGTGTGGATCTTGGAGGAATGTGAGTGATGTTACAAGTTGTTTTGCTAATTATGGAAAAAGATTAATGGGTTTTTGTGGGTTTTGTCTATAATTTGCAGTTTATTGGGTTTCCTAACAAAAATTGAGGAGTTGTCGCTAAACTATGTTAGTGTTTTGTTTATGTTTGAATGTTATTGGAGAAGATGTGTTAGTTTTGTTGATTTCTTCTTGAAATAATAGTAATTAAATCAAGTGTTTTAAGTGGGTTTTAGGATTTAATGTTTAGAATTGTTGAACTTGACGAGCAATTAAAGATTAGTGCTATAATTTATAGTTCATAAAAGTGGAAAAGATGGGTTTTTGTGACTTTGAATGAGAAATTGTGTATGGATCTTAGAGGAATGTGAGTGATGTTACAAGTTGTTTTTCCTAAAGTAATTTATCTATTTGTTTAACTGGGGCTGAATTCACGAAGAAGAGAGAGTTTGAGTTTTTACTGATTTGGTTTATGTCAAAGGGAATGGGCTCGTATGCCATGGATTAGGTGATGATTATCAAGAGTATTTGTTTGATATTGGAAATTATTTATAATGAGAAGGGAATGAATTAATTTCAATATAACCATGATTTGAACTTTGAAGTTAGGTCAAACAAAATGGTTTCTTGTAAATGGATGTCTTGGTCCAGTTTGAGCTACATATTATCATTATCTGCCTTTTGGCAATGTGGAGACTTAAAGGCTGACTAGTATTGCTCTGTTTGGCTGCAAGATAATAGAGAAACAAATAAAGCCATGAATGGAATTTCATTTTAGTATCAAGTTCACTTCAGTTGATTTCAGTATGAGTTTGCATCATGGGTTTCAATTTGATATGATTTTTATGCTTTTAATGTTAATTCAAAGTTTTCAATTTTATTGGGAATAAAAATAAGGGTACCAGAATTTTGTTGACTTTAATTTATTCACCTTTGTACAACCGAAATACTGCTGAACCCTAGTGTCCTATTCTCATAAAACCATTAGGTATAAATTTAATTCTCTGACTCATTTATTGAATATATTTGATTTCCAGGACAAAAATTGGTATATTTTTTTCCCTGATTAGGCATGCTACCTTTTTTGTGTAAACATGCAGTCTCATGTCTATTCAAATCCATAATATCCTTTTTGTCCTTCCAAGTAAAGAAGGTTGAAGTTGTTTAGTTTGTGCTGCTAATGAGTGAGGAAGTCATAACTTGTACATAAGTTAATTTAAGAAATAAATGAACTTTCTATTCCCTAAAAACATCAGGACACTTTATTTGGTGGATCCCAATACCAAGAATTTGAAAGAGGATTACCCCTAGCCAGATGTAAAAATTCATGTATGGGGATTTTCACCGATTTACCAGTATCAAAGGCTTCCATCACAGAACATTGTTTCTTCATATGAATGTAATTTTTCGGTCCTAGAGAAGCCATTTTGTTCAAAATTGTGCTAAAGGGATAGGTTTGTCTTCAATCACCCCCTCCGGTCGTATTACGAGGAACATGGAGTAATTCCTGAAACTTCTTTCCTTAAACTTCTATAAGTGATTTTTCTACTATCACACGCTATTTAGCAATATTGAAATCTATTTAGCATGGTAAAAACTTTAGCTGCTACAGAAAATGTAAAAATAAAAAATAATGTTAAGTGGGTAACAAGTTGGGTTTGGAAGTGGGATGACACAAAACTAAAATGGTTACACCAGCATTGAAGTTCAACCCAGTGATAGATAGGTCTCGCTAGTGGCTAGTACCGGGCATTTACGTGTACCCTTGTGATTTTCTAATATCTCCACTGAAAGCAGTACCCCATCCAAGTTGTCGAAAGAGGGGGGACTTTTTAGAAAGAGAATCAAGAAAAAGGAAAACAGGATGCGAAAAAAACCAGGACATATACAAGGAAAATGACATTCTAATTCTGTGTGCACACACCCATAGAAATTCACCCTATCTCATTTTATTTTTCCGATTGCATCATTTTTCTGGAAAAAACTCAACGAGGTATGCCCCCAACCCCCCCTCTTTCTCTCTCTCTTGAGATTTTCTCTCTATTGTCTGTCTTGAGTCTTGTAATAGTTAAGTAAAGCCATTGGATTGCTAATTATGGAAAAAAAAACAATAAATTTTGTGGGTTTTGTCTATGATTTGCAGTTTATGGGGTTCTCTAACAAAATTTGAGTTGTTGTGGTTAATCTCTATGTGAGTTAATTATTTGTTTCTATTTGAATGTTATTGTAGAAGATGTGTTAGTTTAGTTGATTTTTTCTTGATACAATAGTAATTAAATCAAGTGTTTAAAGTGGGTATTAGGATTTAATATTTAGAATTGTTAAACTTGATGAGAAATTAAAGATTAGTGCTTTAAATTGTTGTTCGTAAAAGTGGAAAAGATGGGTTTTTGTGACTTTGAATGAGAAATGGTATGGATCTTGGAGGAATGTGAGTGATGTTACAAGATGTTTTGCTAATTATGGGAAATAAATTAGTGAGTTTTTGTGGGTTTTGTCTCTGATGTGCGGTTTATGGGGTTCTCTAACAAATTTTGAGCTGTTGTCGCTAATCTATGTGAGTTAGTTATTTGTTTCTATTTGATTGTTATTGTAGAAGATGTATTACTTTAGTTGATTGAGTGGAGTGGTTGTAAAGCGGATCCCCAAGCCCTTGACTTTCGCTGAGGTGCCCCTATGAGTTTGGTGGTGCTTGTGGAAGGAACGGAATAGGAGATCCTCTATAGGGGAGGAGACTCCTATTGGGGAACTGAAATTTTTTATTATTAGTTCTCTTTTTTGCTGGGTTTCTGGAAAGAATTGTAAATCCATGGGCGAGATAGTTGATTTTTGGGCAGTTCGAGAGGTTAGGGGCCCTAGTTCTCTTCTTTGTTCATTAGAAGGGAATGAATGTGTTCTCAATATAACCATGATTTGAAGTTAGGTCGAACAAAATGGTTTCTTGCAACTGAATTTTTTGGGCTTGTTGACTGCTGAATTACTGATTGTTATTAAAAAATAAGTGTTAAACAGGAATATGACCTCAATAAGTAGGTGACGTAGGTCAGAGGTGGGGGGAGACTTTTACATGCTAGGATGAAGCAGCCTATGTTGGCATTATGGAGTTATATTGAATTAATTAATTATTTTGAATTTCGGAATGACTTTCTCTAAACATATTCAGTATTTTCAAGAAAAATATTTAATTTGGATCATGAACACTTAACCTAAAAGGTTTTGATTCAATGATCATACCCTTCTGACTTTCCTTCTTTTCTTTCTTCTTTATTCATTCTTTTGTTTGTTTATCACTGAAATATTTTATGCAGTCCAGCAGTTCTCTTCGGGGCCTAGCTAAATTCCAAGTGGCCATATTTGCTGATACAACCTTTAAAGATCTTGTAAAGAGAAACATCTAATAGTTATTGTCATAGCAGAAAGGAATGATTTTTCAGTCCAGTGATGATGGATAGAAATTCCCATACCAACGAGAAGCAGCCTTTGGATGATCTATCATCTGCCAATGAAGCAAAAAAGTCTACAGAAACCAGTGTGAGCGCTTCTTTGTTTGTCAACCATGGTAAGTCTTTCACGCAGTTAATGAACTGTATGGCTGAATATTTGTGGATTTTGCTGAATTAGTGTAAATTTGGTAATCTTGTTAAATTGTTATCCATCTTTCATGATTCTGTTAAACAGATATATAGCACCAGAATGGAAATATACTATTTAAGTCGAATTTTTTAGTGTTTTGACGTAACACGGAGACAATTATACTTACATATATTGGATTGATTGTTATAAAATGATAAAATCTATTTCTGTGAGGCTGCATATTCTGCTCGTTTGAAAAGATATAAAAAGACCATAAATAGAGGAATGTTATAATTGTATGTAAATCTTATATTTCATTGATACAACTTGAAGAATTTGCTATAGTTTCTTAAAAAATATTTTGTGGTTTTATATAATTTTTTCATAAAAACTACTTTTTTTTCCATCAAATTAATATAATATCGCTGAATGTATTATGTAGCTGAAATTGCTTGGCAAGAGAGTAGAAGGAAATGGATTGGAGATCAAACTCAGAAGTCAGGAAGAGTGCCAAAGGATCCAATTATAAGGTATATGTTTTCCCCATAGCTTCTTTGGGTGCAATTGTGTTCTATTATAGTCATTTGTCAGTGAAGGAACAGTGTACTTACAATGGTGTTAGTAATCTCAATAATCCTGTTCTTAATGGCTCCATAAGTAAAAAGCTGTAGGTACAGGAGACACTTGAAGTTAATTATAGTCTATTACATTTAAGCAAAAAAATGTGTATAATTGGTATATTGAAAGAGAGTGAAGATTTGTTTACCCATGTACATTTTACAACACAGACTATACTGGAGGAGCACCAAAAAACAAGCTCTCATCAAAATCTCGAGTCTTATATAAAATTAACAGAAGAATACAAGGAATCAGGGAACTTCTTTGAATTCCAAAAATGTAAACTATTTAACATTAATCTCTTGAACCTGAATCATCATCTTCTGGTCCTCAAAGACAGCCTGATTTTGCTCCCTCCCTATACTACACAGAGGGCACAAAGCAATTGCATCCTGAGTGTGATTCTCTGCTACTAGCTTTCTAGCAACTAATAAGTACCACCTATTGAGCCTGGCATGATCCACTACACACAAAAAGGTGAAAAACCATGCTTCAATGTTCATCAGCAACTATCTAATAGATTACAAGGTGATTTAACAGTCTGCTTTGTTGCTTTGCACTTACAACACCAATTTGGAATAATTTTCCTAGAACTTCTTAAGTCAACAGTGGCTAGTATCACCTACAAGTTTGCGGTCCCAGTGAACTTGTCAAGTGCCCTTCCAAGGAAACCTTGGAGTCCTATCACCATGCAATACCTTATAAAACGATCCTAAACTAGCATATTGCTTCATCGACCTTCAATCACAGTGCATTCCCCCTTCCTCCAACCCCCACCATCATCACTTCTTGAAGTAGCATAAAGTATCTCATAGAGTGGGGTGATTTGAATTTTTAAATTATTTGGATGGTTTATGCAATCAGTGTGCTTGTAGGCCACGGCCCACATCTTTCATAGGAGAAGTTATTGGGTATCCCGGGGGTATTCAATAACCGCTACCCCGTGAGACTACATACTTTTCCATTTCATAGGACTGGAATTTAGAAGGCTGTTGTTTTGGTTTCTTACCTTCATCTATGCATGGGAAGTTCACCCGATGAACGACGTTCATTGGTGTTTTCAGTTAAGAGTATGAATTGACATTTTTGTTACTAAATCATAGATATATTTACGTCGACATAGTTGTCTAAAGCATGGCCAAAGTCTTGTTTCAGAGTTAAGTTTTGATCTTTTGAAATAAAGAGGTTCTTGCCTTAATTCATATTAGCTTTGAACAAGATAATTATTATTTTTTTAGTAGGACTTTTCAATCCTAACTATTGGCATATAATAAGGAATAACAACCTAAATTTCAAAAAACAATATTAGAGTAATTGATAAATGGTCATAAATTGATCACTTATATTAAACCTAACCTTTTCAACAAGTGTAGCTCATATAATTTTGGACCTTTGCATAAAAAACAGAAATGTCAAATAAAGCAAGAAGAGATGGTAGGTATTCATAGGTTTAAATCCTTTGGCATTCTTTGTGGGCACTTCAAAGAGGAATTAGGCCAAGTTTAGTGGTGGGTCTTTTGCTTCTGACTTTCAGAGGTTTTTTGTAGTTTTAGAAAAATCTGATACAAAGCATGCTAACATGAAAAGTGTCAAATTTGGAATTCATCTGGAGTGCTTTGACCTTGCATAATTAAGTCTTTGTTTAATTTTAGTCTTATTTGTGTTTTCTATAGGTCAGTTTGTTGCTAGTATATTTTATTAATTTTTCCTTCTGTGTCAGGAGTCAGGGCCTTAGGGGTATCTTGATACTTTCAAGATGTGTTGATGGGCTTTAGTAGTGGCATGGGTCTTTTTTGAGTGAGTTATACTTGTTAAAGTATTTGGAGTCTTGGTCCTTTTAGAACTAGAAGTCCCACGAATAATTATCAATAAAATAACCTTTCTGGTCAAACTTTCTGAATCAGTTTTTTTTTTTTTTAAATAAAACAATTATTTTACTTCAAATTCAGGGGCTCGTGTCCATGTGTGTACATAGAGGACTATCCCAGAAGAAAGAAATGGCTTGTTGACACACCTGTAGAAAAAAATATGTATCTTTTCCCAATTTTATTTATGAGTGTTATTGTAACAAATATATCACAGATTTTATTTTATTTATTTTTTTTCAGCTGGCTGTAGCTTATTAATAAAATATGGACTATAACTGTGGAAGTTTTCTTTTGCAGCTGGTCGATGACTTATGAGGGCCTGCTGTCTACTAACAAACCTTTTCCCGAGCCAATTCCATTAGCTGTAAGCATCTTTACACGCACACAGACGCCAGATTTTAGTAAATTTTACCTGCATATTATTAAATTAGTGCGCACTCACACTCACACTCACACTCACACTCACACACACACACACACACACAAACACTTTGAGTTACTTGAAACATTGATTGTGCAATTGACCTGAAATGTTATGTGAAACAAAACAGAGGATTTAATTTCAGCCACGGAACATTTAAAACTACCCTATGTTGATGATTTAAAATTAATATTGTTATTGGAATCGCAAGTATTTTGCTATAAAATATTCCAACATTCACTTTTTTTTTACTGTGTGCAAATCAAATTGGCATTGTGCGAATGTGAATTTGATAGACTGTTTGACCTTGCAGGAGATGGTAGATTTTCTAGTCGATATCTGGCATGATGATGGACTTTATGACTAAAATTCTCAGTAATAATTCCTTGTTCAGATGATTTCGTTTTCCAGCGGCAACAAGATGGAGACATTGAAGACGAAAGTCACATATATATCCCGCACAACTTTTAACCCTCAAATTCGATTGACATCCAATTATTTAGTCGATTCTTCAATTTCTGCTGATCTTTGAAAAACAGTCTTTGATGAAACCATATTCGTTGATATTGAGTTTAGAATTGGTAGAATCAACAAGTAGACATATTTTGAACGTATTGCTGTTGTAGCTAAACCTTTGACATTTCAGTCCTTCGTTATCTTATCCATGCCTTACTGAGACAGATTGTTGCTGGTCCTTTAAAGAACATGCAATTTAAACTGTTGCTCTCTCAGTTATGACTTGTGTGAGTATGATTTTAGCTCTATGAATTATTTTTTCATTCTATTCTTTTTAACTATTAAAAAATATGACCTTCAAATTACAAAAAAAAAACAATTTTACCTTTGCATTAAGACATGCTTTTTCACGGTGTAATCAAATGAAGTGGTACATGTGATAGTGATTAATTGGAAATCGTAAATAGATGCATGTGTGGAACAAAAAGTCGTCATATTAAAGTTAAACTTGGAGGCCGACTATTAAATTAAAAATGTCAAGTAGCATCACAATAAAGTCTAACGAACCTGGTTAAATGAGGTGGGTGTTGACATGAAATACACCTCGTTAAGCAAGGAAGAGGTCACCATCACTGTTGTGATAACCTCTGCAAATGACAAAAGGATTGTTATGATGATCCATAACTACTTGTCACACTTAATTAACACAAGAGTCAAATGAAATGGCCCATTTAATATAATGGTACTAATAAATGAATGCCATGTGTGAACAAATAAGTTAAATTAAACCATACAAGCATATATATATATATATATATATATATATTTGTTGCAAATTCAAGCATCGACTCACCAGTTAATTCATTGGGATTATTACATATAAAAGGCTTTAATGATTTATATTTATCATTTAATAGAGTTAAAGTCTAGTAATTTTTAAAAAATAAAGTTAATCAAAATGTTAATGTGAACATGTAAAAACATTATTCATTTATCAAAATGTACCACTTTTAAGCACATAGGTATCACTTTTTGTCATCAAATATTTTTATATTGTACGTGCATGCACAAAAATGGTACCTCTATGTCTAAAACAAAAGTGGTACATGATGACAAAAGTGATATTCATGTGCCTAAAAGTAATAACTTTTGACAAATGAACAGTATTTTTTTATGTACGCATCAGGATTTTGATCAACATTATTTTTTTTAAACTACTAGACTTTGACTTCATTAAATGATAAATACTCCCTCGGTTTCAATTTAAGTGTCACTTATGGAGAGTAGTAATTTTTAAGGGGACACGTGAGACATGCATTGTCTCCTTGTAAAATTACTAATTTGTCCTTTTAAGTTTTGAATATTCAAGTTTAAAATTTTAGACTCAAAAGACATATATGAAAAAATGTGAAAAATAATATTTGAAAAAAATAAATAAATACTTATTTTGGGACAGACAAAAAAAAAAAAAAATGACACTTATTTCAGGCCGGAGGAAGTATGAATTATTAACACCATTTAAATTTTAAATTTAAATGTAATAATCAGTAATCCATTCAGCTTCCTCTATTTTGAAAATATTTATGTTGAGAAAATAAGATATGGGCCCATCAAAGTATCAGGCAGCTTCACATGCGAGGTACAATTACCATTTAAGTGTAAGAAAAAGGTCAGCATCACTGTGTTTGGTTGTTAAGCTTTCTAATAAATGATGGAGAGATAAGTATGATGATTTATAACCATTTCTCAAACCTAATTAACAGTAGAGTAAAATGAAACCCTGTCAAGTAACATCACATGCGAGGTCAAATTAACATTTAGGTTTAAATAAAATTATTGTAACAGTTTTTCAAAATTCTCACTAATTAGTGTTAATGACGGACCAAAAAATTATACCAGAGGGCCAATTTAAACAACAAAAATATAGTAAGATATTTTTAAAAATTGAGTGGGTTATTTTTAATATTATAATTTTTTTAAAAGTAATTTTATAAATAAAAATAATCAGTGATCGTTGTACAAGTTTATGTTGAACTTATTTTAAAATTAAAATGAATTTTGAATTGGGTTCAGGTCGAATTTGCTCCATTTTTATGGATCATGATCTTATGTTGTAGCTTTTCAGTGCTATAGATGTGCTCAATACTCATAATTCAACAAATTTGTTCGAAGATGAAAGAAATAGAGTTAGAAACTCGAAATAATATTATTGAAGCCTCTATTCTAATAAAATTATATCACTGACTTTAAATATTACGGTGAAATTCAAAATATTTAAACTTTATTTCAAACATCAAAGTGGTTCCACGTAATAATTTAAAGTCTTAAATAAAGTTAAACATTAAATCGTGATTTAACACAATTGTTTTGAGGATTATAATATCGAACTAATACCATTGAAATGCATGCCTCACCCACTAAATTACAGTTCATCACCAGATGAATCACGATTTATGTTGTGAGTAGCAGAGAAATTATTGTATGTTCTAAATAAAAGAGTAAAATTACTGTATGCTCCCTTCAACATATAAATAACCGGACTATATAATGTATTCCTTATGTCCCAAAATAATTGAATACATTGGAAACTGATTATGAGTCACCGAACTGTATAATGTACTCCTTCCATCTCAAAATAGTTTGATACTTTGAGAGCTGTGACTCACAATAATAGAATTGAATAATTGTACGAGCATCTTTTGCGCATTGCATATGACTTTACAATATAAAATTGAACCTTACCCTCCATCGAAAAAAGATGAAAAAAAACAGATCTTGATCGGTAAATGATCAAAATTACCAATTAATTCGATAAGTTTAGTGAATTCTTTTTTATATTATAAGGAAAGGAATAAAAACCCATCTTTATTGAAAAATGAAAGAAAAAGAAGCACTTTTGGGAGAAGTTAAAAAAGAACTCGCTATAAAAAAAAGAAAAAGGACCGGAATTTGCACATTGATTCGTTTTTTTCTTTGCAATTTTTTTTAACTGTATGTGTAAAAAGGTGCATGTACGGTCCCGAATACAATTTTGACATGCTCAACCGATTTTATCGAAAAAGATTACAACCTCCGTCCCTTATTAGTTGTCCATATTTGATTTTATAACTTTTTAAGGGGACATGAATGCATTGTCCCCTTTTAAAATTACCAAATTATTTTTTTTAATTTAAATATATTTGAATTTTTTAAAAAAGTTAAAAGACAATGATAGAAATATAAAGAAAAAATACTTTGACTTTTTAAAAAGGATAACTAATTTAAGATATGAAAAAAAAAAAATAAATAAACTACTAGGGACAGAAAGGATACTTTCTTTAGGCTAAGAGGTTAACGGTGAAATCTCGAATTAATTTATTGGTCTTTGTAATTTATAGTTTCAAAATGTCCGACTATTTTGGGACGGTGGATTAAAAAATTTTGGTTGAATCGAATCTTAGACTCTTAGTGCCTAAGTTTGGCGTGGGGTCCATCAACCTTGATATTTTCATGAGTCGACATAATTTAGCGTATACGATTGATGATGTAAGCGCATTACACGTAAGACCAACCCTACCGTAACCCTCCTTTCCATTTTCTAATTTCATTTCCACTTTAAAGCCAAGGCAACACACCACCGCCAACTACCCTTCCATTTCGCCCTCTCCGCTGTACACATCGCAACGGAAACCTCCGAACGTTAGTTCTGACTTTCTCTCTCTACAACTTCATATATATATATACATATATATATATATATATATATCACTCCTCTACATTTCTCACCGCACACCTCTCTCTCTCTATATCTATATCTCTCTATCTCTCCAACATTTCCAAACCTATTTCAGTCTAAGACCTATTTCATTGTGAGTTGTAGAGAGAGATGGAGAGGTTTATCGTTCTCTCTGCTCTGGTCCTTCTTCTCTGTCCTCTCTCTTCTGCGCAACTTCGTATACCTTCCACTGCCAGATATCCGGCGAATTTCGCCAAGAAGCTGATCAGAGACCTCAATTTGTTTCCCAAGGAATCCATCAACATCGTCGATCACGATGACTCTGCTATGGTCGGTGGTCCCAAGATCGTTGAGAAGCGGTTTAGGTTTCCCAATATTGCCGATTCTGGCGTCTCCGTTGAAGACCTAGGTCACCATGCTGGGTACTATAAGATTCAGCATTCTCATGCCGCCAAGTAATTTCTCAACCCTATTTGTTCTCTTACGATGAATTTGTATGGATTATAGAGTTTATTGCTTTGTGTTTGTGGAATTTTAACCACAAATTCTTTCATTTGCATGGTCGTTGATTTGGAATTTATGGGTTTCCATTTTTCTAATGTAAAATTGAGTCCTTTTACAATTTATTTATTTATTTTTAGGAATGGACTGGTTTTTTTTTTTGGGTGAACTAATAAGGTTTTCGGGATTTGGTGTTTGGGTAGTTCTTAATGATTTTTATTTTAAAAGTTTCTGGATTTGATTGGAACTGAAGTTGAACGTTCTGTGATTGATATGGAATGAAAGAATTCGTGGTTTTCGATTTGTTTTAGGGGGACTTGTCCAACAATTTATTAGATAAACATTGGTAATCTATGAAGTTAATAATCGATGAAATTAATAATTTACTATTATTAGTTTCAAATGTTATCATAATTGCACAATGAAGCTCATAATCCATTCTGCATTGGATTTTATTGAAGCATGTTCTAACCAATAAAATTTTAAATGGTTATCATAATAATTTTGGAGGATGGGCGTGCCTGTGGTTTGCTGAATGCTTATTCATGATTGAACAACATTATAACGTTTAATTGTATTTCTAGCTCCTATAGTTTATTTGTGAAGTGTGGATATGGCATATCAGAGATATCTAGGTTGATATATTAACATTTTCTAGATTGAGCAACTTAATCAAATCTATCTGGATGAAAAAAATATAGTATATATATTTTTTATGCTTCAACTTCTATTTATGTAAACTCTCTCTCTCTCTCTAAGTGTTCCTTTTTGTATATTTGTGGTAATCCATTCTGGTTGCTGTTTGTAGGATGTTTTACTTCTTCTTTGAATCACGCAACAGCAATAAGGATCCTGTTGTCATTTGGTTGACTGGAGGACCAGGTTGTAGCAGTGAGCTAGCTATGTTCTATGAAAATGGACCTTTCAATATTGCAAATAACATGTCTCTTGTATGGAACGAGTATGGTTGGGACACGGTACTTTTCTCCAGCTAATTTAATTTTTCAGTTCATATTAGTTGGAAGCTAATAATAGTAGATGATATCATGTAACGATTACTTAGCTTTGCTTTGACTGCTTTGATCCCTCCCATCCCGAGGTATTGTCATGCATGCAGTCTGACCATTATCAAGCTTGTAATGAGAAGTTAATGACACTTTTATATTATTTTATTTCTGATTATGGTCTTTTGATTGGTTTAGTGCCCATGATTGGTTCTAGGTCAGGATTTCAGGAAGTCGGTTTGGTTTTGTCTTTTCGGTTTGGTGCTTACTTGAATCTACTGACCCTTGTACACCCTAATCTATGGTCTATTGTCTCTTGCATATTAGAAGAGGCCTTTTGGTTTGAGTTTTCCTCATACACTTAATTTTTGTTAAGGCTTTAGCAAATAGGAGCTAAGAAGACAGAAGGTATACGTGTTTATTGTTGGTTCCTCAGCTTGTGTATTAATTCTTGTCATTTGTGGTCCATAGTTTTTGAAATGTTGCGACTTCATTGAGAGAGTTACTTTGAGCTAGGAGATACATCTAATATTTGGAGATGGTTTTTAGATTTGATTCTTTGGAGTTCAGGTGGGGCATTTACCATATTTTATCCTGGTTCACCTTCTGGGGAATTCTTAGTTACCTTGCTGTTGAGGGGCCATTTTTTTTTTTGGGGGCAAATTGAGGGGCGAAGTTTTTGAAAGTTGTGATAGGTCAATTGGATGCTTTAAGAGGGGGAATTTCCTTTTCTTTCCTTTTCTTTGGAGGAGATATTCTTGTTTAAGTTAATTTGGAGATCCTTAACTACCTCCCTGCTTCACTTGGGTAGCAGCAACCTGGGTTTTCTGCTGACGGTGCATCCATTTTTATGAGAAGAGAGTTACTCCTGATTGTTACGCTATTGTATTTTGGCACATCTTGAGAAGGACTTGGAAATTCCACGAAGGTTTTGAATTTCTTGATTTTTGGGAGGTGGGTTTTTACGAGAAGTTTATTCTTTAAAATTTTCCCCTCTAAATTTTAGTTTTAGTTGGAAGGGGAAAAAAGACTATTTTGATGTCCAAGCGCATCTGTTAGAGGTAGTGCTCCTGCTTCTTTCGAATTTATCTAGTCTGCTTGTTGAGGAACTATAGGTAGCACATTGTTATTAGTACCTGTAGTCTCTGGATTTTATGGTTGAGACAACGTGTTATATGTTTCTACTCAATATGTCAAACAGATCAACCTATAAGTTGGATTTTTTGTCTTGCCTTAATGTATGTATAGTTTGGAACTTGATGCAGTGTTTAGATGCTTACGTGATTGAATGTTGTTGGATATTCAAAATTTCATTGCAATATTGTTTCTAAGACAATTTTCCTTCTTAATTTGCAACTTCTCTATTTTCATGCAGAGCTTTTCTTTATTGACTCTTGATTATATAAAAGAGAGGTAATGTAACTTCTATGGTTATTCTGCAGATATCGAACCTGCTCTATGTTGATCAACCTATTGGTACCGGTTTTAGTTATAGCTCTGATAGACGTGACATTCGGCACAATGAAGATGGTGTTAGTAATGACCTCTATGACTTCTTACAGGTGGGAATATCATTGTATAAATTTTTAGGTTTTGTTTATTAGCATTTACTTTAATCTTTTCAAACCACTGATCATTACTCATTACTAATGTGAGAGCTGAATTTGAATTTTTTCAGCTTCATTAGATTAACATCTTTCCAATTTTTTTTGAAAGTTTTTTTTCTAATAAAAAATTCTGTCATAAACTTTATTATGCTTTGAACTGATGCAGTGTTTCATGTAAGAATTTCACTGCCGAATGTGATGGAATAATTTTCTAGACTAGTTGATCTACACAGGCAGCTTTCTGATTGGCTTGTTAATATTGCGAGAATTGAATTCCCTTCTTTGAAAAGATTATTCCATGTTATTATATTTCTTTTAACCTAGAGATAAAGAAGACAAAAGTAAAATTTACGTACACAAGATAATAGAATTATGTGTTAGGATATGTGATTATGACTGAAGTTTCTTGTTTCAATGATATTAGGCCTTCTTTGAGGAGCATCCCGAGTTGGCAAAGAATGACTTCTACATAACTGGAGAATCATATGCTGGACACTATATTCCTGCTTTTGCTGCTCGAGTCCATCAAGGAAACAAAGCTAAAGAAGGGATTCATATTAACCTGAAGGTATGCTCCGGATTATACCTATTTCAGCATTGGAATGTCGCATTTTAACTTGGTTGCTGAAGTAACTGAACTCAACTCGAAATGTTCTAACAGGGATTTGCCATCGGTAATGGCCTTACTGATCCGGGAGTTCAGTACAAAGCATACACAGATTATGCGTTGGACATGGGGATTATAAAGAAATCTTCTTATGATCGTATCAACAAGGTTCTTCCTGTGTGCGAAATGGCGATAAAGCTTTGTGGTAATGTCGCACTCTTCAATTTTCTGAGGAGAGAGAATTTTCCTTGATTTTCACCTTTCTAGTTTCCTTTCTTGCTTACATTCTTTATTTTAAATTGGTTTGGCTGTTTGTTGGTTATAGTTTTCAAAGTGTCAAATATTTCTTATTTACTGGAAAAAAAAGTGTCAAATATTTCTTGTCATCTTTTTGAGCACTACGAGCTCTATGTTTTTATTGCTAATAGCTGCCTTTCATGTTAAATATTTGATTTTCTTTTTTCAGGCACTGATGGTACAGTCTCTTGCCTGGCTTCGTATTTTGTTTGCAATACCATATTCGCTAGCATCATGTCGCTTGCTGGTGACATTAATGTAAGAAAACTCAAAAATACTCTAGTAGTTTTTAAGTGTCCAGATGGAATGCTTTTTATAGACCATTGTATGCATAGTTGTAAAATGGAGTATGATTGATGGTGTTTAAGTCATTTAGTCTTGAAACATATTTCTGGGAAAAGCATGTTACAACACCCTTTTAGAAGGCTTAAAGTCGGAAATCACATTTATGACAGAAATTGTTTTTAGATGTATTAAGTTTTTCTTGGTCAAGCTCAAGAATGATTGGCAGCCTTCATAGCATTCCTATTTTCATTTTACGACATTATTGAGAATAAAATAGAAAAGAACTTCTGGTTGTTAACTTAATCCTTATCTAGAAGAGTTTCTTTCATGATGTGTTTTAAACAGAAAAAAGTGGGTCATGTCTGTTTAGAAACACAAAGAACATATCTAAATTTAAGAAGCATTATTGTGTTCACCTGCAGTATTATGACATCAGGAAGAAGTGCGAAGGCAGCCTCTGCTACGACTTCTCGAACCTGGAGAAATTTCTGAACCAGAAACCGGTTAGGGATTCTCTTGGAGTTGGGGACATAGATTTCGTCTCTTGTAGCCCTACCGTGTACCAGGCCATGCTTGTGGATTGGATGAGAAACCTTGAAGTGGGCATTCCTGCTCTTCTCGAGGACGGGATCAAGTTGCTTGTGTATGCCGGAGAATATGATCTTATCTGCAACTGGCTTGGTAAGCTTTTTGCAGTAGTTTTCAAAGTCAACTTTTCTTCAGCTGGGGAACTATTGTTTCAATCAATATCTTATAAAATGACCTTACATATATTGGAATATAATTTTTACTTGTGCAGGTAATTCAAGATGGGTCCATGCCATGGAATGGAATGGTCAGAAAAAGTTTGTAGAATCTTCTGAAGTTTCTTTTGAAGTTGATGGTTCTGAGGCAGGACTGTTAAAAAGCCATGGGCCTCTCAGTTTTATCAAGGTCTCTCTCTCTCTCTCTCTCTCTCTCTCTCTCTATATGTATATTCAGGTACATAAACAATATTTGTTCTCATAGCAATGTTGATTGTTGTTGCTAACATGCATGGTCTTCCGTTAAATACAGGTCCATGATGCTGGTCACATGGTTCCCATGGATCAGCCAAAGGCTGCACTTGAGATGCTAAAGCAGTGGACCGAGGACAAACTTTCTAAAGCCACGGCCGAGCCGGAAAACCTCGTTTCTTCAATGTAATTTCTGAATTTGGTTTCCTCGACTTCTGTATATAAAAGTAAATATATGCTAAAACGCTGATCTTAGAGCTATCTAATGTCAAATCAAATAAGAACGTATAATAAGGTGAACTTTGGATGCTGCTACTATACACTTGAAGGAACCGAAGTAAACGTCTATTTTCTGCGTGCACCATTGTTGTGATACTTGTTTTCATCTTGGTTGTCTGTGCTGTGTGTGACATCAAAAATATTTTTCATGCAACTAGTCGGATATTTATCACGTCACCAAAAAATTTATAATGGAGCAGTTAGAAAGAAACATTTATTTATTTATTTTATATTTTTGGTGGATAAAAAGGTGTGAAAATTAGGTGAGGAAACAAAAGAATGCATTTCTTATGGTAATAATCAAGAGGGTACCCTGCTGAATAATAGTAAAATGTCGAATGATTCAGTTTTTTCTAAATTATGCTTTATAGAATATAGATATGATATGCCATATATCAATTTAACAGTGTTAGTTTTCAAAGTTGGTACTCTGCTTTTTTGCAACTTGGAAGTGTTAAAGAGAGAGTGTGTGTTAATTTATCTAATTTGGCAACTTGTGAATTGTTTTTGAACATCTATTATGGTTGTGGTAATGGGGAATGGAATGAGATATTTGGTTGCTTGAAATTGAATGGATGGAAGTGTAGTTCAAAAATTTCGTCAATTTTAATTCCATCAATTCAAGTTCTAAGGCTTCAATTTAATTTTTAACTAAATTTTCTGCTAATTCAATCAATTCTAATTCTATAGCTCTAATTTCATGTAACTGAATGTAATATAATGTTAAATGGAATTAAATAAGAATGATGAATGATGAGGAATGGACTGGTTGTTTAGTCGCAGATATGGAAATATAGAATGATATAACAAGGGGATTATTATTATTATTATAGGGGATTATTATTATTATTATTTTTTGGGGATGTAATGTTCGCACATTAATACCATATTAAGGGATATATCTGAGACATGAGTTCATGAGAAATAACCATAATATGAAAAAGGTTACAATTTTATTCGCTATACTGAACTACAAATTAACTCGTTGAATCTCTGCTAAAAATGCAATAGGTTTCAGTCATTGCATAATTTACTTTATCATTGCGTCAAGACTCGTCAATCTCAAAAACTTTTGAATTTTACACTCCTTTTGCAGTACCAAATCAATGTTGGATCAAGTTGGCAATGCAATGTAAGACTAGAAGTTCATAATAACCTAGAGAATGAAATTGCTCCAAACCTATATGAAAAGTTATGCCAATTATAACAATTTGTTAATCAACTAGAATGAAACCTTTGCTCGTCATTTTGTATAAATATGCAAAAAAAAAATTCGTAAAAAGAATTTTCAATAGACCATCCAAAATGAATGACTCAAGTGAATTTAAATCCTTTTAACAATTGCTATACATTTTTATAACAATTTAAATCATGTTATAGTTTGAAAGTAAAATTCAACCACCCAACTAATTATTTCTCAAATTAAGTATACTCTTTTGAATTAGTGATACCAATTATGACTCTGTCTAAGTCACATAATTTTTCTCAATGGGTATCACTTACGCTCGAGTGTGCTCTCGCTTTCATACTCCGCTCACTCTCTTGTTCTCATTCTTACTCTGTGCAATTTAAATTTTATCGCTTCACGCTCTCGCTCTCAAAATTGCTCGGACTTAAATTTTATCGCTTCGCGCTCTCGCTCTCAAAATTGCTGTCGCTCCCACCCCCGTAACTTAAGACTCAACTAACAAATTTTAGGATTTGGGTTAAAAAATCTTAAATTTTCAATGGAAAAGGGTTGACAATGGAGGGAAAGATAACATAAAACAAAAGAAAATAATTGGGTTTCTTTTGTTTAATTGAGGAGAAAAAATCAAGAAAAAGGAGAAAAAATTCCCTTAAATTTTCAATGGAAAAGGCCTGACAATGGAGGGAAAGATAACAGAAAACAAAAGAAAATAATTGGGTTTCTTTTGTTTAATTGAGGAGAAAAAATCAAGAAAAAAGAGAAAAAATTCTCTTAAATTTTCAATGGAAAAGGGCTGACAATGGAGGGAAAGATAACAGAAAACAAAAGAAAATAATTGGGTTTCTTTTGTTTAATTGAGGAGAAAAAATCAAGAAAAAAGAGAAAAAATTCTTGAATTTTTTTTTTTTAAAGTAAAAAAATAATTTAACACCGCTATTAACATAACTACAACATTTGAATACATTTATATGCATTGTGGTTAAATCGATTCTAAAATTTATAAATATAAAGTGATTCATACACATCTAAAAAAAATTAAAATAAAAAATAAAAAGAGTGGAGTGTCTCATATTTTTATTGATCCAGCTATTATTTACATAAAAACAAAAAAAAAATCGTTTTCAATTTTCCAAAAGGAGAAAAGGGTAGGGAAAAGAATATACACTCGTATTTTCTGTTTGGTTAGTAAGAAAAAGTGGAGAGACTTCCAACGGTTCCAAACACAGCATCAACATCGTAAAGGCATGTGTATTGTGGCATATAAGTATGTGAGATTCACACTAGCCTTCTGGACATTGTCCGTATCTGTCGTTCTCTGAGTCTTGTCAGTGGTAACCGGAGGAAACAAAATCTAATGAGCAAGTGGTCCTAGAGAATATAGACAACTGATAACCCAGGTTTTCTAGGGTTTCATGTAAGTAATTGGTCTTCCCTTTTTCATTCCATCTTATATATATATATATGCGCATATTTGTGTGTGTTTATGTATAGACCGGATATTAGATCAATTTCTTCTCGTACCTTACTTGAGGACGCGAAAACTTGAAGAAATGAGTTAAATCATTAATTTTGGGAATTGGGTACTTCTGTATTTCAAGTCTCGATTGCAAAATGTTTTCATAAAAAAATTTCTCGAGAAAATTATACATTTTCATTTTTTTTTGTGTTAGATGAAGTCCAAAAATATAAACTTTATGTGTGAAAATTTTCCCGAGAAAATATATGTCAAGGCATGCAGTTTTCTTGGAGCTGATTGAAAAAGATTCATGAATTTTTTGTGCTCGCTTATATAAAGATAAATGGTGAGTAATTTTTTCAAGAAATGATTTTCAAGAATAGTTCTCTACCAGAAGAAATAGAGACCATGAACAATCTCTGTCCAGAAATTTCTGTGATCATAAATCCCTATGGGAATCATTTTTCCCAACAAAAAGGTCATGTCTCAGTTGGATATCTATTTAGTGTTTTAATGCGTTGAATCTAATCTTTCTTGACATTTCAACACATTGCTTTAATGTGCATAGTTTAGAGATTCTATTGTTAGAAGCCACCTTCAGGCCTAATCTTCAAGAAATCGAATTCCGTTGCACCAAAATGAGATTCTAGAATACCAGCTAACCGTGTTGTTTTTTGAAATTGTATCTGCAGGCAGTGTCGGTTAGAGTGGACATTGGTAGACAAATATCCTCCTTGCCGGGCGCAAGATCTATGTTCAAGTAAGGGTACGTTAAAACTCTGTCAGGCCTTGAGAAATCAATTGTTTTTAAGCAAATAAAATTACAATTTGTTCGGGTTGTTTGTATGTGCAAAAGAAAGAAAGAAAGAGAAAATGCTGATAAAATGAGAGTGTTGTTCTCCCTAATTGGGTCAGCCCCTCTATTATGTATCTGAATACTAATAAATAGAAATTACAAATATACCTCCAAGGTAAGTATAACTCCCAACACCCCCTCTCAAGGTAGAGCATAGATATCTTTATGCCCAACTTGTTCCAGCACAATAAAATGACTTTTTCCCTGAATTTTATAAAAAGTCAACTCTATTTTGGAATAAAGTCATTGTCATATTTTGGGGAAAAATGGCAATCCAACTCTATATGGTTAACTTTGAAAGACTTGATTGGTAGTAATGTACTGACAGCTCGATCACAAAACATCTTCATGGGTGTATCATTTGTTAGAAACCCAGCATGTAAAAGTGACGTAGCTGAAATTATCTACCCACCAATAAATGTGCAATATCTAGAAGCTCATCTCCTTTCCATATGATGATCAGCCCAATTCGCATCAAACATCCCACAACATCGAGAGAATTAGGTGGTCTAAACATAAGGCCTTTTCCTAGAGCTCTCTTGAGAAATATCAAGATGTATGACAAATGACTTCCCTATAATGTTACCCAATTCTGCATATACTGATTGACACTTTAACTGCAACTGCAATAATGTGGGAGTCTCGAATATGTATTTTGGATTATGTTATACATATTTGTTTGTTTATATATGTATATGCCGTATATTAGATCAATCTTCTTCTCGTACCCTACTTGATGACGCGAAAATTTTGAAGAAATGAGCTAAATGATTAATTTTGGGAATTGGGTACTTTCATATTACAAGTTTCGATTGCAAAATTTTTTCATAAAAAAAGTTCTCGAGAAAATTATACATATTCAGTTTTAAGTAGATTTAATTTTCATTTCTTGAGTTAGATGAAGTCCAATTAAATAAACTTTACCCAGAAAAATGTTAAATTTGTATGTGTGAATTTTCCTGAGAAAATACATAGTTTTCTTGGAGTTGATTGAAAAAGATTCATAATTTTTTTGTGCTGCTTCACCTTATATATAAAGATTAATGGTGAGTTAAAGGTGAGATATTTCTTCAAGAAATGATTTTCAAGAATGGTTCTTTACCAGAATAAATAGAGACAATGAACAATCTTTGTCCAGAAATTTCTGTGAACATAAATCCCTTTTGGCTCTGCCTCTTTTTATGGGAATCATTTTTCCCAACAAAAATGTCCATGTCTCAGTTGGTTATATATTTAGTGTTTTAATGTGTTGTCTTTAAGCTTTCTTGACATGTCAACAATTTGCTTTAATGTGCATAGTTTAGTGATCCTATTGTTAGAAGCCACCTATAAACCTAATCTTCAAGAAAATGATTTCCGTTGCACCAAAATGAGATTCTAGAATGCCAGCTAACCATATTGTTTCTTTTTTTTTTTTTTGAAATTGTATCTGCAGGCAGTGTGGGTTAGAGTGCACATTGATAAACAAATATCCTCCTTGCTGGGCGCATGATCTATGTTCGAGTAAGGGTACGTTAAAACTCTGTCATGCCCTTAAGATATCAAGTGTCTATAAGTAAATGAAATTACAATTTGTTCTGGATGTTTCTATGTTCAAGAGAAAGAAAGCGAGAGAAAATGCGAATTAAATGAGAGGGTAATTGAGTCAAGACCCTTTATTATTATCAAAATACTAATAAATAGAAATTACAAATATGCCTCCGAGGTAATATAAATCCCAACACCCCATCTCAAGGTGGATCATAGACATCTTTATGCCCAACTTGTTCCAACACACTAAAATGACTTTTTTCCTGAATTTCATAAAAAGTCAAGTCTATTTTGGAATAAAAGTCATTGCCATATTTCGGGGAAAAATGGCAATCCAACTCTATATGCTTAATTGTCTTGAAAGACTTGAGTGGTATGTACTGACAGCTTGATCACAAAACATCTTCATGGATTTCTCATTTGTTAAAAACCAAACCATCATGTAAAAGTGACGTAGCCGAAATTATCTACCCACCAATAAATGTGCAATATCCAGAAGCTGATCTCCTTTTCATATGGTGGTCAGCCCAATTTGCATCAAACATCCCACAACATCGAGAGAATTAGAAGGTCTAAACATTAGACCTTTTCCTAGAGCTCTCTTGAGATATTTCAAGATCTCTGACAAATAACCTCCCTGTTATGTTACCACAATTCTGCATATACTGATTAACACTTTAACTGCAACTGCAATAAGGTGGTGAGCCACAAATATTCCGTATTAGTCTTCTACGTCTACCAGAATCATCAAATTGCAGAACAACATCTTGCTCAATTTTACATTAGGATTTATGGGAGTGTCAATTACTTCTGCTCCCAAAAGACCCGTCCTTACTTCTAAAATCAAACGGGTTAATGTGGTTCAAGTTGAAGATGTTGCAAGGACGAGGGAGTCCCCTAAAAGAATGTTCGACAAGGGTGTGAAAGAAGTTGTGATGGAATTTAATTGATAATGAAATCCAAGTGCTCTAGGGATATTATGCAGGTTTGGAATTTCATTACTCAAAGGTTATTGTCTGGGGCTTGGACCATTAACTGTTGATAAGATTAACACTTAAGAGAGGTAGGTTACCTTTATGCTTGCACAAATATTTTAGGTTTAGAAAATGAAAGAGGTTTTGTCTGGATCAAGTTAAAGATGGTAGGCCAGAGGGAGGTTTGAAAGGCAATGTGCGAAAATTATGAGGTGAAGATGGTCTAGAATCTAGTGGGATATATATTGTCAGAGCAAAATGACTAAATAAAAAGAAGATTCACAATCTTGATCCAAGTTGTTGGGCTAGGCAGATATCTTGATTGGATTAAATTGTGTAAATTTCAAAATAATATTATAGTCTTGTTGTACTAAATTTTAAAAGAATATGACAATGTCAAATAGCGACAATCATTATAAACATAGGAACAACTATTGCTGTGAGCTCTGAGTATGCAAGCTTATCTTGAGTTAGGGAGAAGAATTGTGCTCACATCTAATTCTTGTGGTGGATAATAGGTTAACTTGTAACATAGATAATTGACAGTTAGCTGGCCTTGTGCTTTCATTGACCAGTTTTCTATACTTGCCATCATAATCTTGCCAGAGCACTAGGGCCAACCACAGCCACAAGGGTGACATGATTTGATCAGTTTGTCGGTGCTTTTATATGATGAGCTTATTTTGTTTAATGAAAGTTGTCCTGACTAATTTCTGTTCATAATTTGTCAGACTTAAATGTCCCTTTGTAGCTCTCTCTTTAATGAATTTCTGGCCTTGTAAAAAATTAATAAATTTTAAACCACAAGTTTGTTCTCCACCACAACTAAGTAATAAGAAAATCAGAAGAACGCTTGGTAATATGGCATAAAATTGCTTGCGGGTGATTGCGCATATCCGGAGTTTGCAAATCATCGGAGAGTCCAAAGTGGCTGGCGGGTGGGTTGATTCTTTGTTATCTTAAAAAAAGGGCATAAAATTGCTTGCCAAAAGAGAGGAGATGAAGATAAACAGAGGAGAGGTACTCAATAAATTATAATCTAAATCAAAGTCGCTTCCACACCACGTTGGAATGATTTTATACTGTTTCCAGAACCATCTAAGTGTTTCATCATTTTTCTTCTGTTACATGTTTATTTCTTGACTTTAGAGCTGGACTTCATTTGTTGTTGTTGGTTGGAGGTTCTGCTGAATAAATGCTGTTAACTGAATGAGTATGACCAGTTACCAGCCATGCATAAATATAACAAGAGTAATGCTCCTAAGAGGACCCTCTCATGGGAAGAGCCATGAGCTCTCCCTATTTAACCATTGGATGGAAATAATTATTTGAGATCCATGAAAAGTCAAATGAATTATTTAATGCATCTTTCCATCCAATGGTTAATTGGGGAGAGTTATTGTAGAACACATGAGCATTGTATGTCTCAAGTTTTATTTTCATTAGTGCTTACATTTTGTCTATTTCAAATTATCTGATCCTTCACTACTATGTCCGTTCAAATTAAACCCAACGTCCACAGTACCAAACCTGAGTTCAGGAATTGATTATAAAATATATCAGATTCTTAATTTCTAAATGCTATCAGGAACACCTCAAGTAATGTCTCACAAACTGATTTTTGAAGGCCATTTTTAACATAATAAAAATACTATAAAATAAGTTTGTATCAGGTGAAGCGGGTTAAAGTGTTCCTGTAAAATTTCCTTGTTACTGAAATATTAATAGGAGGTGATAAAAGCATTATTATATTAGATAACATATTTTGATTTACATTATCCCATACAAAGGGGTACAATGCACCACATTCATGTTTTTCAGGTTACCGAAACACGGGGACATGGAATTTGATGTGTACCATTCAGAATTTTAGTTAACCCATATTATAAAAATATATATCAGTTTATAATTGGTTCACCTTCTCAAGAAAAAAATTAATCTGCCTGTTCTGTTTAGAGAACTATTAACTAAAGGAAGTTGTGAATTCAAAACTATAAATTGTGGTTCAACTGAGTTCCATTTTAAATGAGTATGCATAGAAGTATTTTTTATCTGTAATTCGTACAAGGCATGCAAAATTACAGGAGCATGTGACGTGAAAATTATTGCTCCCAATGCATTTCTGGATTTTCCTTTTTGGCGTCAATGCATTTTTGCATTTGATCATGCATTAGTTTTTTTCGAAATATTGATCATGCATAAATTGTTTACCATTTATTGTGTGTATCACCTTTTTCGACTCCAAACACTAGTGATTTGCAAAGCTTGTATATCTGTTGAAAATACAGTTCACAATTTTTATGTTTTTTTAATTATTTTTATTTTTTCTATTTTTTCCTTTCCAACGCCTTGTCTTCATATTTTTTGATGAAACCAGTGATGAAGTGCCATTCGCCTTCAACAAGATGAATGGATTCTCCACGGTTGACGGTTTTGTGGAGTTAAACGAGTGTTTGGCAGAGATGATCAAGTATGTGGCTAATGAACCCTCAGTAGGGCTTTTCTATGTTCAACAGCATACCCAGAATGCAGTGCCCAACCTCGTCAATCTCAAGAATAACATTGTGGAGAAGTCCCGTGAGATGAATTTGCATGCGCAAGATTTGGAGGATTCTATAACCATGGCAAGCTCAATGAAAGAATGTGGCTTTCCCGTTGCCGATGAGATGATTAAAGACATTAAGAAATCTCTGGCTATCATGTCAACAAAACAACCAAAAAGTGGGAGCCCAAGGTCAGGTTTTCGAATGGGAAGAACTAGCTCTTGGGGTCCATCTACCTGGGGTCGTAATGCAGCTTATTCACGACAGGATGGTGAAAAGAGTGGTAGTTATCTGTCAACAGTTTTAAAGTCAGCAAAGCAAAAAGCCAGCAATTTCAAGTGGCCTCAACTTGATTCTATAGAACCAGGAGAAACCAAAGGCTCTTCTCTGTCGTATTCTAGCCTACCAGCTACCGGCACCACTTTAACTCTTCCGGTCTCACAAGCAGATGAATTGCCCCCGTCAAGTCAAATTGCCGATGAACTACAAGAAAAAGAATTACCAGTTGATGTAAACTCATCGAGTCATCAATTAGTGTCATTGTCGGAGAACTTTGATGACTTCAAAGCAAATAAAGAAGCAAAACTGGAGGAGTGGTTAGAAGGGGCCGGCAAACAGGATGGTCGCACGGGAGGAACTGGTGATGCGTAAGGGCTATATTTAACTAGAACTTTGGCTGCTGGAGAAACCTTACCTTGTAAATGGCTTGTATGTTTATTCTTGGTTGGCGCGATGCTAAAAGATGACCGTTCCTTTGCTGTTCTAGGTGAAGAATATTTGCCTTGTAACTATTGTATTTGCTGTTACAGTGAATAAATTACTTGTAAAATTCTTGTACTCGAATTTTGGAATATTCTTTACAAATTGTTAATACAGTTTTTTTCTCGAATTGGTGCTTATCAGAATTCTACACCAGCATGGTTCATTTTCTATAAAATTGGTGCTTATTAGTTTGGTCTTTGATATGGTAGATAGTGTTTGTTTTTCCAGAAATTTTCGTCCGTTGTGTAACAAATTTAGAAGCTTTCGTCTGTAATGCTTCTAGCACTGAATGCTGGTTAAAATTCAAATTTGTATGTAATAATGTATCCCCATTCTCTTTTATATTGAATACTATAAGTCAGACTGGTTAGCACTCTACAAACTTAGAAGTCCTTTCTTGTAAAAGGAAAAAATTAGTGAATGAAACTCTTTGTATTGAGAACTTGAAATATTTTCACTCTGGTCCTCCATATAAAAAAGTAATTGATAATTAGGTTAAACCAAATAAATAAGAGAATTGCACTTTGCAACATTGTTCACTCGGCTAGCAAAAATAAAAACAGAGAAGAACGAAAATAAAAACACAAAGAAGGAAAAAAAATAATTTTATTTTTATTTTTATTTTATTTTTGATAAGTAGGAAGGAAAAACAATGAATAGACAGAAGTAGAAACCTTAAAGGAAAAACAACAAAATTTGGAAATAGTGGTTATAAGAAGTAGAGTAATATATATATATATAAACATAATTGTAAATTTGAAAAAAATTTAGGGATATTGGAGTGTTGTCGCAAACACATCATCGAGTTTGAGGTCGCTCTTGTATCAGTCACAGTGCCGACTACTTACATATATAAAACCTATTTTTTTGTAAAATTCTTTTGGATGGTTAATGAGTCAATTTGGGAAAAAACATGGTTATTTTGGTCTTTTAACCAATTTTTAAAAGTTAAAGGGAATTTTGATAAAGTCAAATAGTAACAATGTCTTTTTATATATAAAAAGTGTTCTGACATCACTGAAAATTAACAGTTAGGGTGTGAGTGAAAAACATATCAAACATTTGTAACCTGAGTGATAGTAATTTTCGAAAATTATTTCAATATGATATTTGGTCAAACCTGATGGAGTATTAGTGAAATTAACTCTTTTAGTTTTTGATCACAATTATTTTATTATTAATTCTACTTGATTATTGTTTATAAAATTTATTAATAAAAGAAATAATAAAACTGAGCTCTTATAAATAGATATGGGTTTAGTGCAGAAAACCCCATGTAATATCAGTCATGTGCACAATTAGTCCATCTTTTTTGAAAATGTGCATTTTAGTTCATAATATTTAAAAAATGTGCAAATAAGCCCCTCTGATAATTTTTTGGCAAAAAGTAAATATGAAAATCCGATTTTACCCTTTTTGTTCCTATTTTACCCCCCATCCCTCCCTCTAACAAATTTTGTGATGAATTTACTTGTCTACCCTAATAATAATTTCATCTTCTTCTCTCTCCACTCCACCACCGAGCCATCTCCTCCCATTACCATTACAGGCCACCACCCCCATGATTTTCTTCTCTCCTCACTCTCTCTCTTCTCTCACTCCCTCTCTCCTCTTTATTAATTCATCCCAATTCCACCAATTGGGGTTTGTAAACCAAGTGTTATATACGTCCCAATTCCACCAATTCCACATTATTCTCTCTCTCTCTCTTCTCTTCATCAATTCATCAAAACCTTTAGCCATGCTAAATTTAATAATTTTTAAATCTGCCAATTGATGTTGAAAGAATAATGTGGTCACTGGCAGCGGCAACAACACCGATGAAAGCTTCATCATCTTCATGCTCAAATTGTGACTCAAACATTGAGTTTCTCTATCGGTGTAACCACATGGCTGAAACTCCATTGAAGACCACAGTTGAAGCTCCATTGAAGACCATGGGTTGATGATTCACTGAAAAACTATTCTGGCCGAAGTTACAATCCAGACCCATTTTCTGCGGGCTTCAGTTCAATTTCAGATGAGCTTCAGTTTCAGCTCCGGTATGTTTCATTCAAACCAGAAGCTCCGACGAGCTACAGAGAAGAGCCGTTTTATCAACACTATGAACTCTGGTGTGGAGCTCTGGGTTGACAACGGCCAAACCCAGCTATTCTGGCGTATCTTAGTGGTCAGAACTTCAGTCTGGCGAGCCCAAGTTCTGTTGATAAATATATGCTTCATGTGACATTTAAGATATAACAAACCTTATACTAATATGTCATGAGATAATTAACAATATGTTAATAAATCATTAATTAAATATGCAACTCTATATTTAATTAAATATGCAAAATAAAGCAATAAAATAATAATAAGTAAATAAAGAACCTGGACTGAGGCTAGTATTGGATACTATGTCCTTAAGACAGATTCGCCCCGCTATGGTGCTAACGGATTCAGTGGCGTCTATTTCCTAGGATATAACTGTCTACATCGACCAGTAGCAGCGCTACAAACTCGTGAATACGGTGAACCTCCTCCGTATAATACTCTCTCTGACTAAAAAATGCATCTATATTATATAAATGCCGAATTGGGTGTAATCCGAACCAAATGGTTCGGATCAATCTTAGTATGGCTTGATGAAATTGGATTATGGTCTAAGTGGTTCGAACCACTTAACCTATGGTTTGAACCCACTTGGGTTGGGTTTAAGTCTAGAAAGGGTGATAGAAGAAAATGACAATGAACTATTTGCAAATGATCCAAATGAGGGTATTTATAAACAACAAGGTGCCTTTTCGGGTGGGTGCAACCCTTTGAAAAAAACACTAAAAAGTAGTCTTTAAGTAAGGTGCCTTTTCGGATTGGATGTAACCCTTTGGAAAAAACTAAAAAGTAGTTTTTAAGTAAGGTGCCTTTTTGGATTGGGAGTGTCTCTTCATCATTGGACATAACCATTTATATGTGTCTCTTTATCATTGGATACAACCATTTATATGTGTCTCTTCACACTGGACACATCTACTCCAATTGGTTGCAATGGTTCACATGGTGTCCATTCACCAATAGACACATCCACTCCAATAGGTTGTAATGGTTCACATGGTGTCTGTTCACCAATAGACACATCCACTCTAATAGGTTGCAATGGTTCACATGAATAGTTATGTCTGTTGGTTTTGAGTTGCATCTTTCCATCCCATAATCAACCAGTAATCGCACCTGTTTAGTTAAAGGCATCTATTGATGACTAATCAAACAATTCTCATTCATAATTTCTTACAAGTTCGGCAAAGCTTCATTTTAGAGCAGTGATGAACCACAACGGTGACCAACGGTATAGAAGTTTCGACGTACTCCATCGACGACCAAAACTGAAACTCACAGACCCAGTTCGGTGAAGTCTATATAACCAGTTCGGCGAATCTTACATAACGGCAAGCTCCAAAAACTACAACGGCTAGTTCTGGTGATGGTGATTAAACCAGCGCATTCTAGTTTAGAAACATCTATCTTTTCCGACCACGAGTTACGACGGACAAAACGTGTGCTTCACTTTAGTTCTTTCTTGTGAGCTTTATCTCAGACCTACAAGCCTTAAGCAAGACCTAATAGAAGCTTTAACCTTCGAGGAGCTTCCTTTCGTGTCAGAAGTTGGTTCCACGGACATCTTCAAAACTCAGTCCAGTGTATCCTAGTCCGGCATGCCACAGCTACGGTGGTGTAGTTTGTTGCAGTGATGGATGAAGAAGATGAGGTGGAGAGGAGAGAGAAAAATGAGAGGAAGAATCGAGGAGAGAGATGATGTGCTAAAAAATGGACAAAACAATCCTTTTACATGGCTTACATTTTAACATATTAATTTATTCTATTGACATAAGGGTATTACAGTCATTTTAAATCTCAAGGGGGTTATTTGCACCAACTTGATAATATATGAGAGTTTTATACTATACAAGAACTTTTTTGCATTATATCGATAGTACAAGATTTTTTTTTTGCACTTTACCCAATATATATTTATAATGACTTTATAAATATTAAATATCAACTACTTAAAAAAAGTTGTTAATTAGTTATTTATAAAATATTTTTTTATTTATTATAAATTAACTTTTAAGTTTTGATAGATGTGTGTGTTTTTTATTAGTATATATTAAAATTTTAAAGGTACATATATAATCGGGCAGGTCATCACTAAATTTTTTTATTATAAATTAATTTTTAAATTTTGACCACGTCATCATAAGCCCGCCTAAACACACTTTCAACTTTTAATTATTTTATTATACTCGTTCCAAATCAATTTAAGAGACTACCCCCTTATTAGGGTCGGGAAGGGGACGAAAAGGTAAGGATAAATTGGCATCCTAACAAATCCAGATGGAGGAGGACACCACGAATCCACCAACGCACTAGCCAACCCTGGATGCACCGAAGAACAGAGCGATCGAGCATCGTGAAACTCCCAAAAACTGACAACATCCTTCTGCACCACAACCTCAGGCCTCCATAAAAACCCCTCAAAGACCAACCGATTCCAGGCTTTCCAAATACCCCAAATATAAAAGAAAATCAGACTAAGAACGTCTGCAAAGTCCGAAGAGAGCATAGTCGTATGCACCAGAAAACTCCAACCTACCCGGAACGAAGAAAAAGTAGAATCGGAAAAATCAAAACACATCGAAGATAACTTCCACACCTATATAGAATGAGGACAAGAAAAAATAAGATGCACCGCAGACTCCTCCTGCAAACCACACCGAGGGCAAAGAAGGGATACCTCATACCCGCTATCTAGCAAAGCAACTCGAACCGGCAAAGCATGAAAACAACATCGCCAAAGAAAGTGTTGCACCTTAGACATAGTATGGTACCGCCAAATAGAAGACCAAGGACCAGTAGTAGAAGCAACCCCCAAAGAAGGAACCATGGAAATGGCTAATTTATAGGCCGATCGCACCGAAAACTTACCCGACCTCTCTGGAGACCAAATGACCTCATCGGGCTTATCTCACCAACTAATGTGGATTTTGAGAATTTTCTGCACCGTATGGGGAGAGAAAAACTGAGACAAAACATCTACCTTCCACGAAGACGTAATAGGATCAATCAGCCCTGCCACAGAAGAAAATGGAGCAG